CTTTCTGCCTGCCTGCCTGCCTGCCTGCCTGCCTGCCTACTTGTCTTGATTGTGTTGTATCGGGCATTGCATGCCTTCAGCCCTTCTCCATCGTGTACTTGGCAACCAACCCCCTCCTTCATACACACACACGCACACACACACACACATACACACACACACACACACCCTCTCTCGCTGTCTCTCTTGTGTCAGGATGACGACAGAGTACAAGTCGAAGCTGCAGAAGCTGGCGAAGGACATTCTTGAAAAGTACAAGGTTGGTGTGGAATGTGCTCACGGTACCACGTGTCGTGTCGCCTCTGCTGTGATGTGATGCGTTGTCCCCTCTCGTGCTCACGTTTCGCTTGTGGGTCACCTTTCCCCCTCCTATCAACCGCCAACACGCACACGCATACACGAACACACACACACACACACACACACACACACACACACACACATTCACACGCGCGCATACACACACCTGCATTCACGTCACAGCATCAGGCCCGCAACATCCGCAACAAGTACGTGGCGCAGCTGAAGAAGAGCGATGCAACAAAGGACGACAAGCGGCACATCGAAACATATGTGCGATTGCAATAGCAGTGCTTGCTTGCATGAACTGCTGTTTGATGGTTTGTTCTTTGAAAGCTTTCGGCACTGTGTCGACTACTTGTGCTTCTCCTTACTCACACGTATCTACACACACATGCACACATGCGTACACACGTATCACACACATACACACACACACACACATTCCCACGCATTCCCACGCATCAGATTCAGCAGTGCATGGACGGGCATTTGCGAACGATGGACGCTGCGTATGAAGCCAAACACAAGGCCCTCTCTTCGTGAACGTGGCCACACACGTTGCGTAAACACTTGAACTCGACATGATGATGGTGGCGGCGGAGAGGTGTGCTGGAAGCCAGAGGCAGGAACGTGAGGACAGCATCGTGGACACACACAAACACACACACATCCACGCACACACACCAACAACAACAACAACAACAACAACAACAACAACACCAACAACAACAACAGACAAACAATCAAACAAAACACTCGCCCCTCCCTGCCTTGAAACCAACTTCTTGAGGTCGTGTTGGGCGCGTGTCAGGTTGCGTAGTGGTGGCGAATCTTTCGTGAATTTTTTCCGTTCGCGCCCGTGATTGCACACGCACACACACACAAAACTTGGCTGGGTTGGGTGAGGCATGACGTGTGACGCGATGTGGCCTTGGTGACCAACAAGTGCTTGAGCGGGCGAGTTGGTTGTGCTTCTTCTTGCTTTTGCCTTTGCCTTGCTACTTTTGTGTCTGGCTCACTCCCTCGCTTGCTTGCTCACCTTTCTCCTCTTGCTTGGCATACAAAAACAAACACACGCACGCTTTCACTAGCCCACTCCAGGACACGTACTGTTGCCTCTCTCTGTGTGTTCTGGTGGGTGAGTCGCTTCTTTGCTTTTGCCTCTTTTGTTTTCTTCTCCGTATGTCATCATCATCTCCCATCCCCACCCACCCACACTGACCGCGAACCACGTGCGACCCACATTTCATCATATCCAACCAAAGAACCCAAACTCTTACACACCACAACCACACCACAACTTCACACACCCCACCACAACCACAGCACCCCAACCTGCGCGGCATCTCACCACACATCAGAGCTGACGAGCCAATCAACCACCCAATCACCACCCAATCACCAACTAGCCGGCATCGAGCAGCAGCTGCACGACTTCAAGAACTTGTGACATAAAGCCGCCGTCACCTCGTCCAACCAAAACCTTCACCCCGATCCACCCTTTGGTCAGGATATTTGTGCTGGTTGTCAATGCGGTCCTTGAGCCAACCAAAACCCGTTTGATCTCACATCCACCATTGCGTTCACACACACACACACACACACACACACACACACGTGCATATGCACATTGCTTCATTCATTTCCACACATACACACATCCATCAATCCATTTCCGCATTCAACCGTGTTTTCGCCTCGCACACCATCTCTTTCCAACGTCCGCGACTTGTCGCCACCCCCTCTCTCCACTTCTTGGTACGTTCTCGCGCACGCGTGTGCTCGTGTCTGGGCGTCATGTGTGTGATATGTGCGTGTGTCAATGCCACGTCAACCGCGGTTTGGTGTGCGTTTGCATCGTGCACCATTCATGCCGATGACATCAGCGCAAGTTTCCATGTATCTGATGGGAACCAACAACGCAATACACACACACAACACATGGGCTGCTGGTGTTTATGATTGTGGTGCACACGTTCACACGTTTCCCCCTTTGCCGTGCATTTTCTTTATTCAACACCACCATCTTCGCTCACCTCACTTTCCCTTGTGCCCTTGGCGACCGTGCTGGTCCCATCGTGACACACACACACACACACACACACACACACACACACACACACACGCACACACACACACATCCACACACACACACACATATACACACACACGCACACGCACACACACACGCACACAGATCTGCGCCCACTTCCACCCACTCCGCCGACATCCAGCATGACAACAGTAATGAGCGAGCAGAACCAGGTTGAGAACCCCCACACACACGTGGACGCGCTCAAGGATGAGCTGAGCGAGGCCCGCCACCGCCTCAACGACTTTGTCGCCTACGGCATCGGCGGCCTCCCCGTGCGTAAGGAGTCGATGCTCTTTCACGAGGTCAGCTGCATGGTGCGCCGCCCGCCCTTCACCCGCACGTCGCGCCGCAAGAACGTGCTGAAGAGCGTGGACTTTCCGGAAGGGTGCGAGTACGACGAGGCCGTCGTCGACAGACCGCTCCGCGTCATCCCCGAGGCGCTGCGGCAGCAGACGCACAGCTTCGGCTTCAACGCGCTTGAGATGACGCCGTCGCAGATGCTCGCGCACTGGTTCATCATGTTCCAGGAGTACGACCTGCTGTCCAAGTACAAGATCCACGGCGAGACGCTTCGCGACTACTTCCTCACCGTGCACAACGCGTACCGCACCAACACATACCACAACTTCAACCACGCCATGGACGTGGCCCAGTTTGCCTTTGCGCTCTTTGCCAACTCGGAGCAGCTGCGCACCAAGCTCTCCTCCCTCGACATCCTGTGCTGTCTCGTGCTCGGGCTCGCACACGACATGGACCACCCCGGCGTCAACAACGCCTTCCTCGTCAAGACGCGCGACCCCGTCGCCATGCTCTACAACGACCAGTCTGTGCTGGAGAACGCACACGCGGCGTCCCTCTTCCTCATGTTCCACAACAAGCCCACGTGCAACGTGCTGGCCAACGTGGAGGGCGACGAGTACTCGCAGGCGCGCAAGACCATTCTCCGAGGCATCCTTGCCACAGATATGGCCCGCCACTTTGCCCTCGTGAAGGTGCGTGTGTTGGGTTGTTGTTGTTGTTGTTGTTGTTATTATTATTATTATTGTTGTTGTTGTTGTTGTTGTTGTTGTTGTTGTTGTTGTTGTTGTTGTTGTTGTTGTTGTTGTTGTTGTTGTTGTTGTTGTTGTTGTTGTTTAAGTTGTGTTTGTGCCTGTCTGTCTGTCTGTATGTATGTGTGTTTGAGCCCTTGAGTAGTTGTTGTGTGCGCGTCTGTGTTTGTGTTTGTGTGCGCATGAGCAATGCGTTGTTGGTGTGGTGTGTTTCTACGCGTGCAACAACCACATCACCTACGTGTAACACTTATGCCCACCCATCATCACGCGTGTCACCACCACCAACAGGAGATTTCGGCGCACCAGTCGCTGACGGAGGTGGAGGAGGTCCCTGATGACGTGCGCATGTCCCTCATCGACTGCATCGCAAAGTCCGGCGACATCTGCCATCTCGTCAGTCCAGCACACACACGCGCACTTGCTGTTGGGGGATGGAGGGGAGGGTGGATTCTTTGCGCTGCTGCTTTGTGTATTGTGCATGCTGTGCTGTCAAATGCTGCTGCTGGCGCTTTTGTGACTGCCACTCTACCACCACCACCACCACCACCACTATCCCATCACCACTAAACCACTTCCTTCTCACCCCCACCACCACCCAAACAACATCCTTCTCACCACCACAACCACCACCACCAACACCAACATCATCAACCCCCAACAGGTGCGGCCGTGGCCCGTGGCCAAGGCGTGGGAGGACCTGGTGATGGAGGAGTTCTTTGAGCAGGGCGACTACGAGAAGCAGCTGGGTATGACGCCCGACGGGCTCTTTGACCGGGAGAAGTGCAAGGTGGCCAACTCGCAGTGCTGGTTCTACGACAACATGGGCAAGCCGCTGTTCAAGGCGCTGGAGCACCACGTGCCGACCACCGCCGCAACCCTCCTCGATGTCATGCAGGCAAACGTCTCAAAGTGGAAGGAAATGTGCTGAGCTGGTGTGGGGTGGGAGGTGGTGGTGACGTGGATGTGATGTGGATGGTAGATGGATGACGGGTGATGGTGTAGGTGGCAATCGTGTGCTGATGTGAGATGGGATGTGTGGCAAAACGTGCACACACACACACACACATGCATGCTTGTGCACACGCTGCTACTGCTGCTGCTGTTGATATGGATTTGGATTGGATGAGTGCTGGTATGCTGACTGGAGCGAACTAGAACGTGCTGGACATTGTGGTATTGCTGCTGTTTGTTTCCATGCTTCAACAACCCCTTCTTTTGTTTCTGTGTTGTTGTTTGTCCTTACGGAATTGGTGTGTGTGTGTGCGTGTTTGTGAGCGTGCGTGTGTGTGTGTGTGTGTGTACATGTGCGTGTACATGTGCGTGTGTGTTGTGGAATTGATGGAAGAAGTGAAAGCACAAGCAAAACTCGTCAAGTCGTTTATGATGTCGAAGGAGAGAAGTCAATTAACGGAGGAAGCGAACCAAGAACACACCATGGCTCATCATGCGAGGCGATACAAGCTCACAAGCAAGTATAACACACACACACACACACACACACACACACACACACACACACACACACACAATCACACACAATCACACACACACACACACACACACACACACACACACGCACAATCACCACGTCAGGTTATGAGAGAATGGGCAGCATGAAGGTGAGGGTCAGGTCATCGTGCAGCAGAAACAAAATCACGTTCCGTGAGCCAATGCCTGCACACATGGTGGTGGTTTGGATGGACACGATGTCAGGATGTCGAGATGTGAAATGTCCAATATCAGAACACGTACACAACACTGCACATGGTGTTCAACAACACATACAAAACACACGCATACATCACACAATCACACACACACACGCACATCCATGATGCCTACGTACTGAGCAAGAGGTTGTTCGAGTCGCCGAGACAGGCGCCGCCAATGAATTGCGCAATCTTGCGGGCGCTGATCTTCGCAGAGGCAAACGCTCCCGGTGGGCGGGGGTGTGTCGGTGTCTGGTTGTCGCCTACAATTCGTACGTGTGCATGTGAATGCGTGTTTGTGTGTGTGAGTTGAATGGTACGTGTGTGTGTGTAGGCATTCACTTGATTCCACAATCACGGCCACAAACACATCACACACCACACAGCACCGAACACGTCACACTATCACACACCCATCCCGACTCACGCCAGAGCGGGTTGTCCAGGTTGTTGAAACACGTCTTGACGGTGACAATCTCAGACTGCACCAGCAGCTCCAGCTCCCCGCGCATGTTCGCGCGCACCGTAATGTCTTGCCTGCAGGCACGGGTACAAGGATAAGGGAAGGGGCCGTGAAGGGAGGTGAAGTGTGTGTGTGTGTGTGTGTGTGTGTGTGTGTGTGTGTGTGTGTGTGTGTGTGTGTGTGTGTGTGTGTGTGTGTG